TCCTTGGCAGCATCCCATCCATCCATCCGTCCATCCATCCATCGCTGCAGGGGCCAAAAAACCAGGAAAAGAACCGAACAGAACAGAAACATGCACCCAGCGACATTTTGTCTCCCGTTTTGAATAATGATTTTTTCGTGTAAGTATTCCGCAGCTCCCCTGGTCTCACCCCTGAGGTTCTCTGGTGGGGTGTGTGAAAAGCTATTGAACTTGGCACTTGGCAGAGGATTTTTGCATTTTTATAAATACACTGACCAGAATAGGAAGGGGCAGCAGCAGCAGCAACAGCAGGAAGCGCTGGCACTCAGTTCTATCTTAAAAGATGCAGCCAGCGAAAGTGCAGGGCGCTCATAAGTGTCGCCTCTCTCCACAGTCTGACAAAAGTACAGATATATGCATGTACAAACGTTTACATATGTGTATGCATATAAAAGATATATGCGCAAGGGGAAAATGTAAATTTAGATAGCGGCAAAAAGGCCGCATGCGATACTGTATCTGGCAGATACAAGCAAAGGCTTTAGCTCGGGTCTGATGCTGATGATGCTGCTTCAAGCATTTTCTTTTGAACTCGAAATGTAAAATGCTGCAATTAATCGTCAAGTCGTCTCCGTCTGCCTGAGTTGGCCTGGGCCAACTCGGTCTCGGTCTGTGTCTGAGGATTGGCAGCGTCGTCAAGTGCTCCTTCAGCCGTGTTGTGTGCCTGCTTTTTGGCAATCAACTCCGCACAGTCAACCCACACAGCAGTGGCAGTGGCAGTCGCTGCAGCAGCACAAGCAGCAGCAATCATATTGCAGCACGAGATTTCTTGTCTTGTCTTGGTCTTGCAATTGTTCTGCTTTTTGGCTTTTTGGGGCCTTCTCTTTGCAAAAAAAACAAAAACGAGTTTCGCACAGATACAGATACCAAACCAACCATCGCAGACATGTGGAGTTTGTACATATGTACATCTATCTGTATGTATATTATTTACTCTTTCTCTCGCTCTTACTGGCTGTCACTTAAGCGTTTTTCGTTTTTCTTTTGGGCGTCTGTCGATGCTGCCCCATAGGTGGTGGGCAGCAATGGAGTAGTCTATCTATCTATCTGTATCTCTAAGCACTTGTCCTGTGTGGGCAGACAAGGTTGGGTTCCCCGTTCCGTTTCACCCGAGAGGAGGCATCGAGCGCCTTCTTTGCGTAGGTTTCAAAACTAAGAGACAGAACAAAATCAGACCAACCGCCGTCAAGCGTCAGTCAATTGCAAATCGCATTCCCATAGTCATGGAGTGGCGCCTCAGCTCTAGCCACAATGCACGAGTGTGTGTCTCAGTGTGTCTGTGTGAACTAAATTACTGCAAACGAAAAAAAACTACAGACCGAAAGAGAGTGTAGAAAGAAGCGAGAGCTGCAATTTTAATTGAGTTAATAATCTTAATGGATTTTTCGAATTTAATTATAGCCCCAGCTCTGGGGCTGCCCTGGACTGCCATGCCGAAAAGCGTTTTGTAAGCCTCTTTCGGCCATCAATTGCTGTTAGTCCTCTAAGAGGGGAGAGCCACGTGCTGCTGGGGTCAGGCCTTAAACTGCGCAAAAATACAAAAAATGCAGACAACTCAAATGTTAATGGTAATCCCGCATGTGCATACGATTTGATCTTCATTTGTGGAGGGTGCTCTTGTTTTATGAATGGTTTTAAAATCCAACCAAAAGCAGTTCGAGGAGTACCTCGTTTATAAACAGCCCTCCCCTTGCTAAATTTGTAGACATTTTTATATACATTTACTTTGGAGGGTCACCCATAAACACAATATATTTTGTTGCTCTGTTTTAAATTACGAATGCGCTCAATTACAGTCAGAAATAATAATAATAATACTGTGTGGTGGGCTGACCAGGCCTGACCAGACCAGTTGGCATTCAAAGATTCAGTCTAACACACAATGATAATGCAAATGCAAATATATGTAAATTGTATAAATTTTAATTGAACCTAAAACCGAAAAAAAGTTTCAGTTCCAGAGCCAAATGTCATGCGAATTGTGTGAACTGCAACGACGACGACGACGATCAACAGCAAAAGCAAAGCTGTGGGGAAAGTTTCTACTCAAACAATACAAATTGTATTTTGTAATTTGTAATTGTAATTCTATTCGTCTGTAATTGTTTTTTTTTTTTCGCTCTCCCATTGTGGGAATCGTAGACACGGACGATAGACAACGGGGTGGGTAGACCTTTTTTCAAGCTGAGTCATAAGCCAGACGCGTGAACAATTTTGCGCATTTATCAGTTTGTTTGTCTTATTTTTAAGTGCATCCTCTCGCTCGCTCGCTCTTTCTTTCTATAGAGGTGTTCGTATTCCGTACATGTACTATATGTTTTGTCATCTGATTATGGGCTGGCGCCTTACTTAAGCTTTGGCTTTATAAATAGATTTGCGTGATTGGAGGAACAGCAGGAGAACAAAGTGCAATGAATGTTGTTTTAGATGTGTCTCAGATGCTTGTAGGCTGGTGTTCCAGAAATATTTAACAAACGTCTCTTACAGCAGCCCGAAAATGGTTTGGATTTTTCTGCATTCTCTTTCACTGTAATCGTACCAATTATTATTCTTATTAAATAATTAAAATATTATACTATGTTAATATATTCTTAATAATGTTAATATAAAATCTAAAAGATTTCCCCTTCCCCGCTTAGCTGTAGCCCACACCCATTTAATGTTAGATTAACACGAATGCGCCTTGGCTGTTAACAACAGAGAGCACCTCTTGCTGCCAATTAACAGACAATCATCATGTTTCTGACAATAAATCAATCAAAGAACCCATTCACAAAACAACTTAATGACCAATGGGCCACACACACATAGAAAACCACTTGAAAACTTTGTAGGGTCTCATTTTTCGTTGATAAAAATGCCCCAGCGGCTAAATGGCTGCTGGTTTTTTTTTGTTTACAAGATTTTGGTGACAAGCTGTCTGTTACGCCAATGTTGTTGTTATATGCGATTGTCGATAAATAAACAGTTATAATTGGCATGCGACACGAAACGGAACGAAGGAAGTAGAAAGATGAGACGTAGCGTGCGCCAAAGTAGAGTGGCAGAGGGCTGGCACAGGGTGCGAAGTTGTGCAGAAATACCCTATAAGGAAGACAGGGACAGGGAAGCAGAAAAGTTGGCGTGCTGCAAAGCAGAATGATAATAAATAACAAAAGAGACAAACGACACAAACGACACAAATCAGTTTGATAAATATAGTAATATGCAAACAATGAAAAGCATGCAGAAGGAACATAAGAAGTATGGAAGTAGGAGGGGGCGAAAAACCAAGCAGAGGGAAGCCGCCGCTTTCTTCAATCGTTTTGTTTGCAGGCGTAAACTACACCCAAAGCAAAACTCCCACAGGAAGTGGCCGATAGCAGCAACAGCAAAAGCAACAACAACAATGCCCAAAGCAAGACAATGAAGAAACACACATAAAACAAAAAAAGAGAATCATAAAAATTGTATACCTACACATGCAAGCGAAAACCGTATATGACCCAATTAAGTGAACCCAAAGCTCGTCTCTTCCTCACTCCAGTTCTCTCTGTCTCTCTCTCTCTCCCTCTCACTGTCTAGCTCTATCTCTGTCCGATTGTCTGTGTGCAGCTGTTTTTAGTGTTGTTGTAATTATGAAAGCGTGCATGTGTCTGTGTGTGCATTGGAGCTGGAATTTGCAACGAAGCGAAAAGGTTGCCAGCTCTTGCAGCAGTTGGCAACGCCATTTACTGTTACGGTTTTTGTTGTTGGTCATGCAGATTTCAGCCAGCTGAGAACAGAGAGAGCAAGCAGAGCACCGAAAGAGAGAAAGAGAGCGAGAGAGCCACAGTGGAGTGCAGGAGAGTACATACAAGAATGCATTGACCAAAATATTCCAATTGGAACGGAAATCCAATCGGAGACAGCAAATCACAACAAAAAAGAGACAGCAAAAAGGTAGCAGCCCAAAAGAATGGTGACAACAATATTTAAGTGCTTATTCGAGCCGGGTCAACAGCTTTAAGTGTTACATACATACACACACACACAATATACACAAGGCAAATGGCCAACAACCCCCTTGGGGCCGCCCTTTAATTATTTCAAATCGGAATTTAAAGTATTAAAACACACATTCACACACACAAAAACGTGCGCACACCGAGACAAAGGGAAAACCCCACCCAAGAGCACGGCTCTAACCTTAACACCACCAAATATGTACTCATGCCAGCGAGGGAGAGGGGGAAAAACACTTGCGTGTCCTGTTGAGTGTAAAAATTGAGTGGCAGTCGAGACCTGGACCCGAGCCAGCGGCACGACTGCAACCACTACAATGCTGAGAGAGCAGGAGAGCGAGTCAAGGAGAATGAGAACCAGAACGAGGGCGAGGACACGACCAAGGCAAAGGCAACGCCGGAAGTATTGCATGTGAGAGAGAGAAGGAGACGGAGACGTTGTACGACGCGTGAGCGAGTTAACGGAACACACCCCAGGCCCTGCCCAGGCACATGCTCATAGAAGTGCAATAACACAGTAAACGCACAATAAATGGAACCTTCCCTACATGTTATTGTGGGGGTGTTTCTTTGCCGAAATAAATTTAGTTTTATACAAACATTTGATAGAATCCCTTTTCCAATTCTTACTTTGCCCCCCCCACCAGTCTGCGGCTGTTTCACTGTACAACTAGACAAAGAACGAACAGAGGTATTGAGAGTGGAAAAGGAGAGCAAGGAGGGGTCACGGCACATGCATGGGCAGAAACTGTGTAGAGAGACAAAGGAGTATACCAACACATTTAATGATTTCTCTTTTAGGCAGGACAAGAGAAACGGAACGGAAACAAGACAGGAAAAATTAACACACATACTGCTAGACACACACACTCACTCACGCACACAGGGTTGAGAAAACAAATGACGAGCGAGTGCATAATGATGACTTTTGGCACTTTTAATGAGTCATCCTGTATGACCAGGTGCTTGGACGCTTACCTGTGGGGGAGCTCCGGCGTCGACAACGGGCTCAAACAATAGAGTCTCCTGCTCAAATGTCTCCTTGGTGTCCTCAACAAGATGCTTCTCCTCGGTGGAGGAGAGCGGCGACGGTGTAATGTCCACAATATCGGCCCGCTGTGGCTCCAGCTCCAGCTTGGCCATGGGCGCATTTTCCTCAGGGCTGAATATCGGGGCATTAGCGTCCAGCTTGGACTCGGGTGCAATTTCCTCAGGGCTGAACAATGGAGCACTGGTGTCCAGCAAGAAGCTCTGGTCGTTGACATTCTGGGCAAAGGGATCGGAAGAGTCGGCGGGCAGCTGCTCAACATCCTCCTCTTGCTGCTGCTGGGCATCGCTGGAAGTGTGCTCCAGATAGAATGAGGCCTGCATTGGGTCCTCGGGAGCAGAGCCAAACAACTGCTGCTGATGCTGGGCCTGTATCTGGTCCTGGTCGTCATTTTCCTGGTACTGCAGCTCCTCCGTGGAGGGTGACTGCGAGACATGTTCCTTCTCCTCAACATTGAGCAGCTCCTTCTCGGCAAAATCCTCGCTGGACTGAGTAGGCAGCGGCTGCACCGAGTTGAGTATGTCCTCGATGGAGGCATTGTGCTCGCCATAGATCGACTGCTTCATGATGTCGTCATTGCTGGCGCTGATGTGGTCCATGGGCAGGTCCAAGTCGACGCTGGTTTCTGGGCCGTGATCGAGAACATCCTCGAGGACCGGGGCAGCGCCCAAGATAATGCCTGAGCCTGCGCCATTCAGGAGCTGCTGCTCCAGGTTGCCCTCAGAGAAGACATCGTTGTCCTGCTCCAGCTCATGTGGGCGCTTGTCTGCTTCAATGTCAAACTCAATCTCGTCGGGCACGGCAATGGCGTCCATGTTGTCTCTGGCCGAGCCCTTGCGGGGACTCTCCGCTACCATATCGTCAAGGGGACCACCGATCAGCTGGCGTGCATTCAGGCCAAGGATAGGCTCACCCTCCTCCCTGGGCAATGGTGATGATGGCTGGGAGCCAAAGTTAGGCACAAATGCAACGGCATTGGGATTCAGCTGCGAGTGAGATTCTTCGGTGTCGACCACAGGATCGTTGTTCTCCTTGTTGTCAAAGGCTTCGAGCAGGTCGTGTGTCTGCTCCTCCTGCTGCTCGCCACCCACAACCTCATGATCGAGGGGCGTGGGATTGTTCTCGCTCAGGCTGCTGGTGCCATATGTGGTGGCCACCGAGCTGGCCTCATCCTCGTCCTCCTGCTGATGGAGCAGCTCCTGCTGCTGCTGCTGCTGTGGCTCCAGCAGCAACTGCTGCTGATCCTGCCGCTCCAAGCCGGCCACCTCACCGGTCGACGTTGTGGTGTTTGAGTTTGTCGAGAAGTCACCATCGTTCTTGATCACTTCCACATCTTCGTCTTCATAGGCCAGGCTAAAGCCAGCGGCAGCTCCACCACCATTGCCCAGCCCGTTGCCGATCAGCAGCTCTGCCTCGTGGTGGCCAAAGCCATTGCCGTTGCCATTTCCTGCCACGTTAGCGCCGAAATCCTCCTCCTCGCCGAAGCTGCCAAGATGCTGCTGCTGCTGCTTTTCGCTCTGCTGCACTTCATGTCTGTACTTCCACTCCTCGTCGTCTTCGTGCTCACCCGACTTGACGGAGGCGGCGGCGATGTTGGGCACCAGCTCGCCGGCAACATCGGCAGCATTGCCGGCACCGCCAGCAATTTGCTGCATATTCTCCGCAAAGCGGTTCAAATAGTCGAACTGAGCGTTGTCCTCGTGGTCCATTTTGCTGTATCTCTGTATTTCTCTCTCTGGGGGATATCTGTGCTCGCTCTTTCAGCAATAAACAATTTCTTTTTGGCTCTTGGGCTTGCCAAAAAAAATTATAATAATGATTCAGCTTGCTCTCGTGATTCACACGCCACTGCGTTTTATTTCTCTTCTCGCTTCTTTTTCTGGCGTTTCTTTCTTGCTTTGCTTTTTTTGCCTCTTGCAAATTCTCCTTTTGCCCTCTCACATACACGCCGCACCACACAAACACACACACAGAGAGAGCGGCGAACTGGAGGGAGGGAGAAGCGAACAGCACAGAACAGCCGCCGAGTCACGAACAATTTTTCGCTTCTTTCGTTTTCGCTGCTTCTTCACTCGTCCTTCTTCTCTTCCCTTCTTTGCACACTTTTCAGAAAATGTCAAAACGGATTAATAACGCACACGCTTGCAGAATCAACTTTTAACAAACACCTTCCACGTTTGGTTTGGCCTCCTCTACCTTCTATACAATTCGCAAATTAGATTTTCTTATGCTTTCAGTTACTTTTGAATTGTTCGCCTTTAAGCCGACCGACGCGCGCAGCAACCGCTCAGTAGAAAAATGTTGGGTGATTTGCAGTGTGGCCAGTGCGTGCACGTTGAAAAAATAATGGGGCGGCCAAACTAGGGCTGCCAAATATCATCAAAATACCAAATATCGATATTTTTTAAAAATATCAATATATTCTTGTTTTTGCGATATTTTTTTATATTTTCAGTTCGGTACCTAACAACAGGATCTAAATAAATATATAGGCTATATTGCATTTGTGCACAAAAGTAGATGTATGTATTGCACAGAAGGAAATGTTTCCAACCCCACAAACAATATATGTATTTTCTGTTGGTAGTAGTATTGATCAGCATCAATATAGCCATGTCTGTCTGTCTGTCTGGCAGTCTTGTTAGTCGGTTAGTACTCAGAACCAAGATTACTGTGATATCACACTGATACAAGTGTACGTATGTACGAATCGTCTCACACCGCATGTGTGCGTTAGCGCGATGACTGTATGGTTAGTGCTTTGCTCCCAATTAACACCTCCGCAAAAGAGTTGTTTCTCAGAGTTTTCTGGAAAAACAGGAATGTTATATTTATGCAGCAGAGGTGGCTTTTGTGAGAAAGTGGAAAAAGTGGAATAAGGATTGAAGATGTTAAAAACATATGTATGTAAGGTTTCTGTTTTCTTTATGGGAGTTATTTATTTCCGATGGGCACTGAATTGAATTTTAGCAAATATTTGTAAGCAAAAAAATATCAAATATATCGATATTTTTTCAGTGATATATTTTATATTATTTTGATATTTTTTCCAAGAAACCCTACATTTAAAGCGTACGAATCAGTGAATCTTAAAATATTTCCTAGATTTTTATGTTCCATTTGATATTACCAGCTTGCAGGGACTTTAAACACTGAAACAATAATTTAATCCGATTGAAGAATCAATTTGACGTATTTGAACCATTAATTGTTTTTGGTTTCTATACCATATGACCTTATATTTTACAAATTCAAACATTTAAATCACCCCTGTGGAAGCAGGGAAGCTTTGTATACAGTATGTTAGTGTATGTAACATGTAAAGACACATGTATGTTAACTGATATAAAAACTTTTGAAAAACTGCCCGCGCAACCAAAGAGATACGAAATTATTTTTATGAAAGGGAGAGGGAATGGGAACAAAAGTAAATATTAGAATGCGCTTGGAATAGTTTGGGGTGCAGTTCTTCTATATTTACAACATAAAAGGGTTTAATACTCCGGTTTATACATATTAATTATTCGTTTCTTTTGCTAAGGAATACCTGATAATGATGAAAACATTATCAGGTATGGTAAGGTAAGGTAAAAGGAATAATGGAGCTCCCAGGAGAATTTACAAACAAGTGTTAGTTTTACCTTGTTAACTAAAGTTGTTCACCTGTTAAACAAGTAGGGGGCGAATCGGGTTAAGTTCGTCATTTTACTTGATACATTTACGGTATATTTCAGTATATTTCGGAGGGACAGTCACACTGGTATTTAGTCAACAACCCTACGCTAAAATAAAATTTAAAATCATTAAAATCAATGAAATAGTCGATCCACCAATGTACGTACCATCTAAATAGTTCATTTGTCCTTGGGTATAGAGCAACCCATTGCAAACTTTCACTAACCTGGCCTACTTAACCGAATTTTCCACCAAACATGACGCATCTGCGGCTCCACCTTTCATTTGTGCCGGAACCCAACCTCAACTTGCCGTACCACACGCAGTGCGAAGAGACCGAGACCAAACCCGAGCTAAAACAGTGAAAAATCAGCATCGCAGATTTGTTAGCACAACGCAATTATGGCACACCTATTGGAAAATCAATTGTTCAATGCGGCGAAGACGATCGAGCAGCAGCTGGACCAGCAGCTCGACCGCTTGGACAACCTGGACTCTGACGACTTGAAGGTGTTGCGCGAGCAGCGCCTACGTGAGTTAAAAGAGCTGAACAACAAGAAGCAAGAGTGGCTCAGAAATGTGAGTAATGCTACCCCCTGCCACCGTCTAGAGGCTAACTGATTTCTGCGCTTTCCGCAGGGGCATGGCACCTACACGGAGCTGGCCGATGAGAAAGAGTTCTTCGAGGTGTCGAAAAAGTCACCCAATATTGTGTGCCACTTCTACAGAGACAGCACCGAGCGCTGCCGCATCGTGGACATGCACCTGAAGACCCTGGCGGCCAAGCATGTGGAGGCCAAGTTCTGCAAGGTGAACGCCGAGAAGAGCCCATTCCTGACGCAGCGCCTGCGCATCAAGGTGATACCCACCATTGCCCTGGTGAAGGACAGCAAGACGAAGGACTTTATTGTGGGCTTCAGCGACCTGGGCAACTGCGATGATTTCTCCACGGAGATGCTCGAGTGGCGCATCGCCCACTCGGCCGTGATTGACTACAAGGGCGACCTGATGCAGCCGCCAGATGTGAAGCGCAAGCCGTACATGAACCGCCCCCAAAAGACAATACGTGGCGGCTACGACTCCGATGACTCTGACATCGAGCTGGATGACTAACTGCAGCCACCCATTCCGTAACCTTAAGCCCAAAAGTCCCAGCCCCACACACACAGAAAAAGCCCACACGTACTCACCACAGTAACCTAGCAGTTGCTTGGCGCCTGAAACAAATCTGAAAGAAAACAAACAAGCAAACAAAACACAAATCAAAACCTAGCACATGGATCTAAACCAATTAGGCATACTCTTTAGAAGTTATTTATTTAGTATTACGTGTTTATGAACAGTCTGCTGCCCTGCCCTGCCCCCTCTCCACCCACTCTGCACATTCATTAGAAGTATTCGGTTGCCTTTTACCCCCAAACCCACACTCTAGCGAGCTTAAAAGTAACCTAATCTTAATTGTACACCCTATGAAATGAAGTTTATAAAGCCTGCCCGAATTACGCACGATTATGTAAATCCCTTAATACTTTTTTTTACAATCTCTTTACCCACTTCAGATGGTGAGCATTATATAATCTATATACTCAAAGCTCGCTCCTAAATGGTGAAAAGAAAACACAAAACAACACACAGAAGAGACAAACAAAAATCATCTGGCATATATATATTTTTAACAATTTGACAGAGATGTAATGCATTTCCTAATGTAGTGGTAACTAACACATATGTACAAGTTTTTATATTTATTTTTGTAATTCTATAAAGCATCAGAAAGGAAAACTATTAAATTGCATATTCTCAAAGAAATAAAAGCAGCGACTTGATTATTTGAATTTCGCGCGCTAACCTCAGGGCTGCATGCGATTGACTTGGCGAATAACGGAAGCAGCTGTCAAACGTGAAAAAGGGACCCCGGTTCGCATATTTATTACAATTGTATTTTTATTGTCTGCCCGGCATAAATCCTTGGTTTAAATCACAATTCATCAGCAAAAAATTAGACAACAAGCACTCCCAAAATGGTGCTCGTATCTGTTGCGCGCGGCATAGTGAAGGCTCTGATGCGCTCAAACACCTTCGAGGAGATAGCCCAGATTATGGAGTGCGACGTGGAGAGTGTCGTCAGCTGCATAAAGGAGTGCCAACTAGTCGCGGGCAACACCGCCACATTTAAACTACCGACGAAGGCAGCGACAGTGCGCCGTCCGCACAAAATGTCGGATAATGTGGTGGAGCAGATTCTGAGAGATCATCTGTCATACACTTCGCTGGATGTGCAGCGGGAGCTGATGTCCCAGCACGGCATGAGCGATATCGAGTCGAAGGCTGTCCCAGTGAAGAACGTGGGTCTGAGTGTGGACGCCAGGAATCGCCGCGTGGACTGGGCCCTGGCACACCAGGACTGGTCAGTGCGCGACTGGCGCAATGTCTTCAATATGGACGATCAGAAGTTTGTAGATGGATCGCCGCCTAAGCAGATATTCGTGGATACCCTGGTGGGTCCAGAGGGTAGCAATTGCAATGACCGGAGTCTCGGCGAACAGCTGATGGCCATTATCCAGCCAAAAATACAGGCGCAGGCTCCAAAGAACACCCACGAGTTCCGCGCCGTGCTCTACGATGCGTGGCACAGCGACCAGGAGATAGTGGACAAGATCGAACAACTATACGAGTCAATGCCAGGCCGCGTGCAGTTAGTTTTGCTCAGCGGCGGCGACAATATCGAGCTCTGACTTCCACATAATTGTGTATATCTCCATTCTGCTATCATAAATGACGTATTCATAAAAAAATCTGTTAAGAACAAATTCAAAATGTGCGCTGCTAGCCCTGGCTGAGCTGTGTTGCGACCCTGTCCGAGCAGGGTTGCATACAACGAGTACATCAGCTGCTTGTAAGTCGTCCCGTAAAACAGTAAAAAGCTTGTTTAACTTTTACAGCGAGACGCTTTTGCTTTTGCACTTCCAGCGTCTTTGCCGCGTCATAAAATAATACCAGCCGTATGTTCAACGATGAAAGGGGGGATTTGGGGGAAGGTCTGCGTCGCCCGTGCCTTGGTGGAATTGTGGTGCGGCGTGGAATGGAATGGCGGTGGTGGATGAGCTCATATACGAAAACGAAAAGAAACAAGTTTAGCTTTTTGGAATGATGATGGCTGGACGGTGGGGCAGCTTCATTCGAACGTGAGTCGCGAACGACGCCGGATGAACGACAACGGACGCCCACGACGGCCCCAACGAAACAGATACGAAAAGCGTGTGACAAAACCCGCATAAGTGTGCCTCTGTGTGTGTGTGTGTGTGTGTGTGTGTGTGCGTAGAATTTTACTATCCGCAGCAGTAGCAGCAGCGTTTTTCTTTTTCCCATTGCTACTAATTGGTGGTTTTTGATGTTACGTGGCCATAACGCGGCATTAATCTGGTTTCATTAACAATCGGCTCCGACACACTGACAACAGCTGAGCTGGAGAAAACATTGCATCTCGCTCGTTCGTACACACTTTTAGTTTTCCGTTTTTTTTTCGGCAACGCTTTGCTTATAAGCAATCGCTAGAAGAAGAATCAAAATTCCAAAACAAAACAGAACAAATTCTAAGTGCAAAAAAAAAGAAGGTAAACTCTCTCTCTACCTCTCGCGGCAACAACAAAATCAATAATTGGCCCCGTGCCCGTGTGTTTGTGTGTGTCAGTGTGTTGGTGTGTCCCTCTCTCTGTGAGTGTGTGTTTGGGTGAGAGATTGTGCCTGCTGCTGGACAACTGGAGCAATGCCCTGCTGATTGATCAGACCCGAACAAGAACGTTTTAAGTGCAACCAAAAGAGTGTATCCAAGCAGAGAGTAACCATGCAGTCAGCGGCAACAGCACAACCTAGTGGCAGCGGCGCGCATACGCCCGTCAATCCCACGTCCAGCTCCTCCTCCGTCACGGGCGCAGGCACAGCAGCTGCCAGCACCAGCACCCCCATCAGGATCAACAGCGCCAAGCACTCTGGTGGCGGGGATTCCCTGCTGCCCTCGCTGGGACTTTCTGGCGTCAGTGGGTCGGGTGCGTCCACCTCCCACTCGATGCCCGGCACACCGCAGCAGTCCAGCAGTGTGCCAACGGGCAGCCATTTGCAGTTGCAGACTCCGAGCGTCACTGGTGGCGCCGTGACGCCATCCGGCCTCTCGATGGGCGCCTCGAATCAATCGCTGGGTGTGAGCGTCGGTGCTGCCAGCAGTGTTGGTGGCATCAGCATTACGCCACCGAACAGTGCTGGCCTCCGTCAAACGACAGGTGAGTACCTCCCCGTCCCTGCTAGATGGCCTGGCCTGGCCCCAATGCTTTTTGATGTCGTTTTGCGTTTGCCTTTCATTTCGTATTCTCTATCTCCTTGCCTTCTCCTCCTTCTCCTCTTACGTTTTCCTTTTCAATTAAATTCAATGTCAGCAGACCACATACACATATGTACATACATATGCACTCCGCAACACACTCTCTCTCCTCTCTCCTGTGTTCTCTTTCGATCCGTTATGTTCTCCCAGTGTTGTTGTTGTTGTTGTTGCTTTTGATTCGATTCGATCATTCGCAATCTGAAGTACTAAAAAGATCAACATGGTACGGGTGACACACACACATACACAATCAGATTGTTTCACAAACACAGTTTTTGATATCAGTTTCAGTTTTAGTTTCGATTTGCTGTGTTGTGTGGCTTCTCGCATTTCAAAAATTCATCCAAAGCCCAACCATTCCTTCCGTTCATCCGTTGAATGCCGGTCTCTACAAATGTATGTACATATTTACATACATATGTATGTATGTACATATCATAAACACACACACTCCATCGCCTCCCCGCTCAGCAGGTTCTCCCTGTGGCCACGTTATCGCTTAACACTTTGCTTTGTTCGGCATTTAGCACACTTCCGCTCTGTCGGATCCATTCATCCATGTCAATGTCTGTTGTTCCTTCTTTTGATTGTTGTTGTCGTTGTGGTTTTAGTCAGTCGCCGGTGTTAATTGATTTACATACTAAGTAGTCGTGGCTGATAGTCCAACTAGTTGCTATGCTCCCGGCAGTCCACAAGATTCGATTGTCATATCACAACATTTAGACGTGTGTGGCGGGGGGTGAAGCAGAGCCAGCCTGCCCAAGGTGTGTTCACATAGCGTTGCCATGGGCATCAGTGGCTGCTATTTAGTGGTTTCTAGGATACAATGTTCACGATTACACTGAGCCTGGGAAAGAGCTACTGACTAAATGGATTAGTTAAAGCATTATAGCTTATGGAAACCTCATGGGAAGAATTACGTAGTTAGGGGGTACATCTCATGGTTCACTGCATATCAGATTATACACCGCTTTTCATGTGCAAAATTCCCTAAGTAAGCCAAACCTGTTTAGCATTTTACACCCGGCCAAGATAGCTCAGCAGACTCAAGGAAAAGATTTCCCAGATTGTTTCCCGCATTTAAAATTTCAAGCAATCTTTTTGTTAACATTTATCTGTTTGCTAGGAAGTCAAATTTCTCAAGCATATTTCCACACAATGTTATCAATTATCGGAATCATTTTCATTCTCATTTCTCACCTTACTTTTGATTTGCACCCTTGCCCGCTTAAGTTTTTTGTTGGTCATTTCCGTAGGTCTACGAATATGTCATACCATCGACACTGAAATGTCCTTGTTCCCACTTTGCCACAGTTCACATTCCTTATTCCATTTTTTTCTGATTGTTTTGCCATTTCATTTTGCTTCTTTTGTGCTGTTTATCGATTTGCATATGACTTTTGCTTTCTGCTGTCTACCCAAGCCCGTGGGACAGGTGGGTAACCAGGACAACAACACCAATCAATGCCGCTTTGGAGCGGTGGAACAAAAAGGGATTTTGCACGCGCACCATTCGACCCCAAGTCCACACAAAATGTTTGCTCTTGCTGTTGTTGTGTGTTGTTGATTATTGTTTGCTTCATTGTGTGCTATTGTCGTTAAATTTTTTATTTCGCATGTTGTATTCTTTTATTGTTCAGATAGACATTCCATGGAATATATATAACACTCGTACATACGTATATGTATATAGTATATATGTATACGCAATTAGCTGACACAAGCACTCATACTCCAGAGCAAATGCGACTTTATAATTGGCATTGTAGTAGTCGCCTCCGCCTTGCCTCGCTTCGTCTTGTCTTTGCTTCATTTTTTCTTTTTGCTGTCCCCGCTGGGCACAGTGGGCGTGAATAGACCTCGCCCCACTCCTGCATGAATGTTGTGTGCAAACTGCAAGTCACAAATTGTTGGAAAATTTTACACCTGTCAAAGACAGACACCCCCCCCCCCCCCCCCCCCCCCCCCCCCCCCCCCCCCCCCCCCCCCCACCATACACCCTTTTCGGACTAAAAGGGTAGTGCAAAATGCGTAAAAAATAAATACGGAAAAAAAATCGATGTATTGCGGCAGTGCCTCATGTGGCATTTCTTCCAATTGGGGGCTGTTGGAAACCCACGAAAAAAAAAAAAGAATACTTGCATGCAGAATCGATATGATTGAAAGCTCTTGAAAAATGATGTACATTTTGTTTGTTTCTAAGTATTCCAAAGAGTCATAATGTCAAGCTAAACTTTATAAGTAAATCATGCCCTTCGTCCCATATGATGAGGTGCATTAATGCTCGTCATGCACAAGCGAATGCTTCAAAAGAGAATCGAAAAGAGTTCTAAAAAGAAGAGCATTCAAGGCTCGTATATGCCTGCACTCATTTTTATTCGTACTGCTTTCAGCGAACCCGAACATTTTAAGTGGAGCTTGTCGCGTAAAGTGGCAGCCAGCAGGTGGGACGGGGTTGTGTGGAGAGGAGAGTGGGCCAACTGGTCACAGATAGACTAAGGATTATGGACCACCCACCCTGCTCTCATGCTGATGAGCTCTATTTATAGTGTTTTTTTTCGGCTAAAAGACGCCTCTCTTTCCCAAAAAGGTCAAGAGTGAGAGAGGGCGTTGTGGGTGTGGCAGTGTGACTGGAGAGCATGGGGTTGGGGCTGGCGTTGCTTTTGTTACAGTCTCTAGGCTAATACCGATTTGTATGTGCATTTGCATACTGAACGAGTTTCATCCTTTCCCCTCTCCACTCTCTTTTTCTCTCTCTCCGTGTGCGTTTCGATGAATATTTTATAGCATGCTTTTGGGCAAATTACCGTAAAATATATAAAACATGGAGAGAATGCGTGGGGGAGAGAGAGGGAAAACCAGTAATGCTGGTATTGATGCAAACACCACCTGGCGTTCACTCTTGTCACTCTTGATTGGCCCCCAAACTGAAATTGTAATAGGATTACATAAAAAAAAGAAGCACCAAAACGCGGACCCAGTGGGAGTCGAAAGTGAGGGTCACTTTTGAAGCGGCGCCATGTGACGTCACTGGCGTGGGTCATTGTGGGTGGGAAGTGTAGAGTGCAGAGTGCACTTTCGAGTCGCTTGCATCATCTCTGGTATCCCTTTGAGGGTCTGGGTAATTGCCAAAAGGGAGAGTGTGTGGCTTGGCCATCATTCTCGCTGCATGACCGCATGACCGCATGACAGCTGAGAATTTAGTCTGAACTTTGAACTATGCCAGTGGAATAGTGTTTGGGGCGTGTTCTAATTGCGTAAATTGATTGCCTGCCTGGCAGGCGCTGGGGCTCTTTATTTAAAATCAATCAGGCCATTGTATTCCATCTTCTGGCACTATCCATCCTATCGCATATCTTAATTACTGGCAGCCAGGAAGGCAGGCGCCTCCTTGGCGCCCAATGAGACCTTCTTAAACGGAAGGGCGGGCCACTGGCGGACTGCGTGCTGAGCTGCCATGCCTGATACGCAGACAATTGATGAGCTCACATAATTAAGCCCGTAATGGTAATGGATGGTTTAGGATGGTGTTCCTTATGGCCTGATTGGATCTCCAAGCTTCTCTCCGCATCCTTCCACCACTCTAAACTGTAGATAACTGTACTTGTGTGTTCTGTTTATAGATTTATCGATGTGTGTGTGTGTGTGTGTTGTGTGTGTGCCTATCCTTTTGTTCTCGTCTTAGTATGAACTTTATTTTGTATCTACTTGTAAAATGTGTCGATGTTTATGTGTCGTAAAGCTGTCTGTACCAGTGAATCTTTTTTATCCATATATCTCTATATATATAAATAAGTCTTTATCTATATACATATTGCTCGCTTTCTCTTTCTCCCCCCGTATATGTGTGTGCTGCTCTACCTCAGTATTCGATTTCAAATTCAAACGGCGACCATCGCTAAAAGTGCTCTTAACGAAACTGCCATCCACAGACAGTTTGAGCAACAGTCCGGCGCCATCATCGCCAGGTGAAGTTCCTTCTCAAACAAACAAAAAAAAACTAAAATTTCAGCACTATCAATCAATCAATCACCCATAAAGTCACATTAGATTACATTTATTAGCGATTAGCGATCATTTTATGATAGGCTTCATTTCTGCTATTGGTTTTGTTTGCTTTTGGCTTCAAGGATCATCGAGGATCATCATTCCTTACAGAGAGAAACGTTTCTAAACACTCTTTTCTAGTTATTCGAACCTATGTTTTGTTGCCATCAACATTTTTCATTACAATGATCACCAGATCATCAGATCACCTGATTCTGCTGACCAAAAACTACTTGGGAGCGCATTTGTATGCATTTCCCATCTGCCAGTACGTACGCCCCACCCAACCCTAACCAAAACCCCTACCAAAACCCCCCTGCTCCATCTAGAAGTCAGCCAAGCATTCCATTTTCTGTGACGCATTTCGATTGCCATTCTGCCATTTTGCCGTTTTTGTGTTGAATTTTTGCCGAGCTTTTAGGATCGACTGTCGGGCTTTATCATCAAAAGATTTTGTGATTGTGTAGAGTGTGGAGCGAGAATTATTAATAAATACTCGAGTGCTGTTGTTTCCTTTTGGGCAGAAACCTGGATAAATGCATGTCCCGGGTTGTGGCTCATATCTTATCGTTATCTTTGCGGTGGTGGTTAAGGTTTTGATTTGAATTGTACAAGCTTAAAAAAGTTGCTAACCTGCGATTAGAACCCAAATTAGCTGGCAAATCTATATGTAAAATATATGGACTACGACTTTTATGATTCGATGGTAATGCTATAGCCTAGGATTTTCCCCCTGAATAGGTTCATTGAACAGGTGAATCATCCATTGACCCATGGTAAAGGCATTTTCTTTATCTGTATTGCTGATAAGGGTAACATGTTCTGATTTATGTGATGAGTAATCGCCGTAGCACACCTGTGCGTTGACAGGTCTTTTACCCATGACCCACATAAAAATGATCAGTTGCGAGGCATGGTCTTAGATCGACTATTCGGCAAGTGGTTAATTACGGGGGAATTTTATCTTTGTGAACACCTTTTTTTCACAGGTGTTCCTTCGCATTTATCATGGACTTTGGCCAGCAGATAAACGATAAATGACACATTTGATAGAAGAACAGAAAGCTATGGCTATGATTCAATAAATCTACAAAAATTAAAAGTTTTCTCATGTTTAATATGGTTTAGACTTAAGCCAATAAATTTATAGTCCCAGACAGCTTTTACCGCAAGATTCCGTGTCCGTTTTTATTTATTAAAAAATGAACCTAAGCCCAGTGCAACCTTACGTGTGCACAGATAACGATCCCTAGTCTGTCTCTAATCTTCTACTTGGGATAGGTTAGGGCTAAGGAGATCCCACCTGAGTCACAATCCGCCGAAGCAATAATTCTCCCACAACAGAATGGGCCTGTGCTCTGTTGTTATTCAATATATAATTTCAGCACGCTAATAGCCCCATCGATAACGCCTCCCAAAAGGTCTGTGGCAGAGATCTCCCGAGTGAGGGAGAGCGCGGCAGAGCAGCAGCGAGGTCAGCGTTGTTATCGTTATCTGAGCAAAAAAAAAAAGAGCGCACTATTTACGCATTCGAACTGTCTGCTGGCGCTGGCATCCGCAGAGCCACTTGGCAGAGGCGATCCTCTCTAGCAAAATGGCCAAACTAATTTACACTTTCTGTGGATATTTTGATAATGACAGCAGCACACTCTACAAATTCCCGCTCGTGGGGATATGTGCCCGTTTGTACAGTGAAAACAACGTAATTGGAATCGTTCAACGATGGTGGCTGAATGTGTGCCCTAGTGTAATACGAATAATAGGAGTAGGGGATATCATTCATCTTGATTCAAGCTTTAAGCTGGATTCTGTCTGCATTAGGTTCGGAAATAGCTTTAGATTCTGAACCCAACTGCTTACATTGCTACTACAGATCCATCATAATGCGGCACATTGAATCTCTACTCGACATGCTCAAGCGAATGCGACAAAAGAGATTATGTGTGAATAAGAAAATCCTCAGCTCGACTCTGCTTTTATCAACTTTTATGCACTTCAAATTAAATTATTCACTTACTATTGTGTAGCTTAAGCTGTAGATTTTTTCAATTATTGTTTAACTACAGTAAAATAGATAGCACAATTATTCGTAATCAAAACGTTATTGTATGAAAGATCACACAAAATATAGTTGTTAGTTTTTTGCTAACTTCTTTGTGTATTTTATATCCAATATTGGACATTGGAATGATCGCTCTGTAAAGGTATTGAAACCTTCGGTTTTTGTATATTTGCGCTCTCAAAAATGATGACGAGCGTGCTCCGAGTGCATAAACAGAACGAGCCCGCAGCCAGTGACTAGCGGCTAGCGGCCAGAGCAGAGCAGACAATTGTTGTGGCTGTTGTGGGACGACCGACGGACTGTGGGGCCTTCGACGTTGTCGTCATCGCCGCTGGGCAGCAAGCTCTGGTCTCTGCTCTGCTGCTGTCGCTGCTTTCTGTTGTCATTTGCTGTTGCTGCCGCCGCGGCTGCTTGCGCTCTGTGCGAGCGTTTCGTTTCGGGCAGAGAGTCAGTTCATATATCTCAATCAGTCGGCAAGAGCGGCCGGCGGCAGGCGGCAGGCGGAGCGACATAAAGCTAGAAAAAAAAAAGAAGAAATTAGAAAGAAACCGAACTAAAAAAAACATTCAGCACGCAGTCGTCGGCGTCTTCGAAACGGTGTTCTCTCGCATCAAGCATACGCCATGTAGTGCCGCCTTGTAAAACGTGTGAATGAGCAAAATAATAATGAAAATAAATATGCATAGAAACAACTCGACTCGTAAATATTGTGGAAACATAGTGGAACGCAGTTGAGAGCGCGCCTCAGTACCCGAAGACGGAGTTATGTCCATTAATTGGTCATGAATCTTCTACAAAGCAAGTGGCAACAATAATTAATCCAACAAAAATGATCAACAAGAACTATTATGTGTGGTGTTTGTGTGTATATACTCTTTTTGGATATTATATTTTTAGACAAGCAATAAACGAAATTCATAATTATGTGGAATAAGCGCGAGGGCAGTGCCGTAAACTGCAAGTACGACGACACTTGGCAATGCCCGCCCCAAAGCGAAAGCAAAGAGACCCCGGCCCATAAGACTCTCTGCTCAGTGTGTGAGATGTACATAGTACACACATAGTAGATGTGTTGTGTATCTTGCGAAATAAATTAAAACATATTCGTAAAATAAATAAAACGGCTGCCCATCCGCGACCCATGCGCCCCAGTACCAGCCCCCAGTCCCAGCCTCTTTTTATATTGCCTCGACTTGCACACCTTTAGATATTGTTTTGACCGGGTCTGGCCTCTGGGCCGGATTTTGTTAGTTTTTTCTTTTGTTGATCGTAAAAAGTCTCCACCTCTGTAGTTTGAGTTAATTTTTGGATCGATTTCAATCATCAACAAAACTCTCACACACTCACACACAAATCCACATCAGAGTTGCTTTTGAAAAAAAAAAACAATCATTATTTTGCGTTTTACAGGAATCGCCAATTGGGCCTCTGACAATCGTGACGGTAATGTGGCAGATAAGGCAAGTAATTCCCGAATAAATAATTATTGTATAATGTTCCAAAAGGTTTATCAAAAGTTAGTTACCAGCAAATGTACGAAACTAAAATGGGGGAAGTCATTATCTATGCATGTCTATTGGTAGGTAGCAAAGAAGTTGCGATAAGAGCGGGTAATATAATCGATGGACGTTAACATGCCACGTGCAACATGAAATGGATATGACACATTTGTTTTTTTTCTTTCACTCTCATTGGAATTATAAATGTTAATTAGATTAACAATTCAGTTTTGGGTTTCTTGCGCTCCACCGCGAGTAATTTGCTTTGGACACTAGACGTCAGGGCCATGAAAATATTCCTCAAAATATTCTATTGCTGTTTTAGAAGAAAGGTTTTTTCAGACTTACAGTTGCCATATGTTTATATCTTAATCGGTCTGTTTTCTTATCATTTCTATAGTCTGCTGCTGATGCCGCCAAACTCAATCGAAAAGAGTCGTACAAGGCCCAGAGGAAGAATTACAGAAAAGAGAAGAAACGAGTGGCCAGCGAGCTGATGAATTCCCTACAGGATCCAGCCGTCATTGTGCTAGCCGACTGGCTAAAGGTGAGACCACACCCAGAGGCACCTTACCCAAAAGAATCCTAAATTTAAATTTGATTATTTTAGGTCCGAGGCACACTCAAGTCCTGGACAAAGCTGTGGTGTGTGCTCAAGCCGGGACTGCTGTTGATCTACAAGAGCCAGAAGACCAAGAGTAGTCATTGGGTGGGCACAGTGATGCTCACCTCATGCCAGGTGATCGAACGGCCCAGCAAGAAGGATGGCTTCTGCTTTAAGCTCTTCCATCCCCTGGAGCAGTCCATTTGGGCGCCACGCGGACCCGACAAGGAGACAATCGGTAAGTGACGAGCAAACAAATATCTGTCATGCAATTTCTAATGAATTATTTATGCAGGTGCCGTTGTCCAGCCATTACCAACCGCCTACCTGATCTTTCGAGCGCCCAGCCAGGCGGCTGGTAAATGCTGGATGGATGCCCTGGAGCTGTCCCTGCGCTGCTCCGCGCTGTTGCTGCGCTCCAACAGCAGCACAGCGCCGTCCAGCACGTATGTGGGAGAGCCGCTGCTGCCCGTCTCCCACGAGACGCAATGGTCGGAGGCGGATTACGAGAAGCACTTCAATGACCATGGTAAGTTCGGTCAGTTTCTGACGCTGCCGCCCGACACGGAATCCACCTCGCGTTCCGACAGCAGCCAGCTGCCCTCGCGGGCACAGACTCCGCTGCTGCAGCAGCTGTACAGCAGCGCCGTCAGCAATTGGGAGCGCACCAAGCGGCTGCCACACTTTCGGCAGCACTCGGATCAGCGAAAGAGCTCCTGCAGCGATGCCTCGTCCAGCTGCGATTACGCTTTGGGCACCCAGCGCAAGCGTCGCCTTCTGAGCCCCGTCAGCAAGTCGCTGTCCCTGGGCGGATCAGGGCCAATGGGCAGCAGCAGCTCCAGCGATGAGAACGAGGATGACTATGACACCAGAAGCGTGCTCAGCCAGGCCCCATCAGGCCCACGGCCAGTGAGCGCTCCGCCCGACTGCTTGGTGCCGCCCCGTTTCCGTCTCAATGTGAAGGGTGATGCCGAGAACATGTTGTCATCATTGTAGTTTCATTGCTTCATCTGGCTAGGATCAGGACCAGCGTAGACTTCGCAATCATTGTTCAAAATTAAAGAGTATGTGCCGGCAAGGGCAAACTCTCTCTGACACTGTCACAGTCGGTCATCGCTCAATCATTAGTTATTGCCTGCCATCTATGGTTAGCTGTAGAATTGCCACGTGCTTTGCAATCGAGAGCTTGGTCCTTAAGAGTCTGAAACAACAGCTAGCGAAACGTCTGTGGCATTATGCCATCAAATTGTGTTTAGCTGTTGATTGGTCTTACTTCAATGTGTTGCAACTCGTTTCAGATCTGGACGCGGACAGTCAGAATGAGGCGCCCAATGCGGCCATGTCGGGTCAGGAGTCAGAATCGGAGTCGGATGCGGGCGAGCCACAACAGGAGGATACTCTAGAGCAAGCGGCCTGTGTGGAGACTACGTATGCTCCCTTCACCGAAGAGGAGTTTGGAGAGGTAACTTAATCCATCACTCTTCCCCACAACCCCTAACCGCTTTCCATTTATATTGTCCAGCAAGGGGAACAGGTGGAGGAGTTGGCCGATGAGAACAAGAGCCTCATTTGGTGCATTGTCAAGCAGGTGCGGCCTGGCATGGATCTGAGCAAGGTGGTGCTGCCCACATTCATCCTCGAGCCGCGCTCGTTTCTGGACAAACTTTCCGACTCGTATTACCACGCAGATTTGCTCTCCAAGTAGGTCAACCCTTCGCCTAGTTTGGGTTTGCTTTCTGACTCTCCTTTTTGTGTCGCAGGGCCGTGCAGGAGGACGATGCATTCACGCGCATGAAGATCATCGTGCAATGGTACCTGTCCAGCTTCTACAAAAAGCCCAAGGGTCTGAAGAAGCCCTACAATCCCATATTGGGTGAGACTTTCCGCTGCTATTGGCAGCATCCGGGCGGCAGTCGAACATTCTATATTGCCGAACAGGTGTCGCATCATCCGCCGGTGTCGGCATTTTATGTCACGAATCGCGAGGATGGCTTCAGCATCACCTGCTCCATCTTGGCGAAATCGAAGTTCTACGGCAATAGCACCTCCGCCGTCCTTGAGGGGGCGGCCACGATGACGCTATTGCCGCGCGGTGAATGCTACATTGCGTCCACGCCCTACGCCCACTGCAAGGGTATACTGATGGGTACGCTGTCCATGGAGCTGGGCGGCAAGATAAACATCGAGTGCGAGAACACCGGTTACAGGACAGAGTTAGAGTTCAAGCTGAAGCCATTCCTCGGCGGCTCCGAGTCCACCAATGTCGTCGTGGGCAAAATCAAGCTGGGCAAGGAGACGCTGGCCACCATAAACGGGCACTGGGACAAGGAGTGCCGCATCAAGGACAGCAAGACGGGCGAGGAAACCCTTCTGTTTAAGGTGGATAGCGATCTGCGGGCCAAGCGTCTGCCCCGGTATCTGGTGCCCATCGAGTCGCAGGAGCCGAACGAGTCGCAACGCCTTTGGGAGCGTGTCTCTGAGGCCATTGCACGCGAGGATCAGGTGGCCGCCACCGAAGAGAAGACCATCCTGGAGGAGAAGCAGCGTGGCGAGGCCAAGGAACGTGCCAGCATCGAAGCACCGCATGTGCCCAATCTCTTCGAGCTGGACAGCTACGGCCAGTGGATATACAAGTACGCGGACCTTCGGCCCTGGGATGTCCGGAACGATGTGCGGCAGTATGAGTGCCAGTACAAGGTGCTGACACAGACGCGCCACAAGTCGGTGCCCATTGTGCATGGGGCCGAGTTGATGCATCCCCTGCGGAGCTCCCTCGAACCGGTGGCCCGCTCGCACAGACAATCGGGTGCAGCCTCCTCGAAGGCGCCCAAGGCCAAGAACAAGAGCCTGGTGCTGGCGCCACGAGACACCAACTCGGACTCCAGCCAGTCGCCCCAGGGTGTGGTCAAGCGCAGCTCCTCCAGCTCCATTAAGCAGTAAGTCAGGTGAAAAACATCTCTGGGAACGAATCAACATTTCTGTGTCTCTCTTTCAGAATCAACTTGGCCCTCGATCAGGTCAATCGCGTGCTGGAGGTGCACTCGAAGCAGTTGAACGATATAAGCCAGCGACTAGAGCGCATGCAGTACGCACCCCCGCCGCACCTGAGACCGGGCTCACAGAATATGCTGGGCGGCGGTGTGGCCCTGTCGACGGTGATCAAGTCACTGATCTACGCTCTCATTGGGCTGACTTTTAGCCTCATTCTGCGCTGGCTGTTCAAGTAGACGGACAGCAGTAGTTCCGGGCGCAATTTGCTTATATTTAAGAAGATTTTGGTCAAAGTTTAGATAACTTATAATACACACCCCACTATATTACAGATCCAGACTGTACGCAACTCTATTGTATTGCCTTTTCCCCGCTGCCAGAGATGTGCAGCTAGAAGCTACATTTGCGCGAGAATCCAATCACGAACTAAGTCATAAGTGTTTGCCCCGTACCATCCCTTCTAAAGCTCCTCCTCTAAAACCCTTTTTTGGGTAGGCTAGGCTAGCGAATAAATAAGTATCTATATAGAATATATCTACACACACATATATACTATAAATATATCTAGTATAGTTGCACCAGAATTCGTAAAAATTCCAATATCTTCGATACAACTATTTAGGCTAGTTCGCTTTTTTCCGTTTTGTTCTTGTTGTTGTCTCCTTCTTTAAGTAATTGTACGGATATATATATGTAACCCCTTTATAACCCCCCACCTCGACTACCATTTAGAGTGAGTTACGAGAAACGAACAATGCTCGAGAGGCTATCATCTGCTCGACGCTACCCGCACCAACCTAGAGATTTAAATGCGAAAAGTGCTTATAATATGTATCTAATTTTAGTCTTACGTCCTATACACATGACCTGTTTTTCCCTGTATTCCTGCCCCGACCCACAAGACCTGTAAGCATTTCACTTGAAATGCATATTTAATAAACTATCTTTTTTCAAATCAAATCAATTATATTAATGAAATTAACTGGGAATTGGGAATTAAGACTGGAATTTATAGTAAAGCTTTGTACAAATTAATTACCCTGAAACTAATAATTGTGATACCACAAATGTTATGGCAAATGCTCTGCTTATTGGCTCTATCTAAAACTTTCAAAATATAATGCAAATAACGTTTAAAATGGATTTCTTTTGAATTACTTTTGCTTTTCTATACTTTAATACTCGAATATTTCATTTTGTTCCAAAAACATTCACGGAATCTAAAGAAAACTCATCGTTCTTTATCAGCCTCAGTCGTTTCTTATTGGATTTCAATTTAAATACTTGGAAAAGGTGAACCCTTCAATTTCTGGAAATATTCCGCTTTGAATTTGGAAGAAGTTTTCGAATAAGGAAACGTTCCAAGTTGAATCGATTCAGTTTAAAATAAAATAACTAAATAATTATAATTTTCAAATGCGCTCCCTAATCGCTAGCTAAATCTAAATACAAGTCTAACTAAATCGTTGAAAGATTGAATAATAAATGGATCACTATCACATTATACTCGATTTGCGTGTGAAAACATCTGTGGGACTGGTTTTTGATAAGCTCTGAGAGGTTTGATTGCACAATTAGTGTGTGTTAAATATGAAATCTGTTTTACTTGTTTTTCCATGGTTTTATTGTTGTTGTTTTTAGCTATACGCTTCGCTTACATTTACAAATAGTTTATATGTATATTTTTTAATATATATACTATATATATATTCTCTACAACATTTACGCTCGATTCTCTGTGTGTCTATGCAGTAAAGCTGGTTTTACTTGTTTCTCCATTCGTATCGCTTAATATAGGGACTCTGGCGTCTCGTCTCTCCGTTTTCTAAGTATTTTGTTCTAGTACTCGTATAAGCAACCCGGTTCTTTTAATTATTCTTGTTTACTTTTCCTTCATGAATAGTTGGTATTATTATTATTGGATTATTTATGCTGCTCCGCTTGTAGTCAGTTGAGTAAAAGATGCTGCTAAATATCCTCTAAGAGTACACTTATATAAATAGTTGCGGGCTTTTCTTTTGTTTTTTCTTTTTGCGATGACAACTTATGTTTGTATACGATTAGAGCGGGCGGGGGGTTACACACAGTATAGCAATAACTAGTTGTATCATTATTTTATTTACTTTACTTTGCTTTTTCGGGGCTTAACATTTAACACGACGAGAAAAGCTGGAGAGAAGCTAGTCTTAACTAGGGGTCAGGGACAGGCAGCCTGCAGCTGAACTGAGAAACGGGCAGGGGGGCTTGGGTGACAACAGTTATGAGGCTAATAGTAGTATTAGTTTTAGTAGTAGTGGGTAGGTATAGTAGATATAGAGTTTTCGGCTTTAAACATCCTGTATTGTATGTGTGTGTGTGTGTGTGTGTGTGTGTGTGTGTTGTGTGCACGATGTACGGCTAGCCTTAATTTACAATTGGACACGCATGTGGATCAGCTCTTCTACTATATAGTTACATACAATTGCGCTCTGCACAGCAGGTAAATAACACTTTTGAGTATATCATTCAAATATAGTATTCATGTATAACTGCATAACTGTATGCGGTATAACTGTATGTATGTATGTATGTGTGTGGCATGCATATTGCACTATTCCTCAATGGCTGGTTGACTGGCTCGCTGGCTGGCTGGCTGGCTGCGGACTGGGTGGCTGGAGACTGTAGCCTAGCATGTGTGCACCCTTAGATGATTCTGCAGCGTGCTCTTCTGTCGGAACTGCTTGGGGCAGTAGGAACAGTTGTAGGGCTTTTCACCAGTATGGATCTTCATGTGATTGTTGAGCGTGGCCACCTGTCGGAAGTTAACCTCACAGATCTTGCACTTGTATGGCTTCTCACCCGTATGCGTCTTGATGTGATTGACCAGGGTGCTCTGCTGTGAGAAGAAACGCTGGCAGACGCTGCATCCAAACGGACGATCCGGATTCTCGCCCTTCAGCATGTTGATGTTGCCCACCATGGTGATGCGACCGGGCGGCGACGCGGCCTGGAAGTGTTCAGACTTGGTGTTGGTCTGGAAGTGCTCAGATTTGGCTGCCGCAGCAGCCACATTACTAGCTACCACAGAGCTGACCGTGGTGCCGCTGTCCAGGAAATGCAGTAGCGGATGATGCTCCAGCTGGATGATGTTGGGCGTTGCACCGTGCAGATTATTTGGCAGCAGTCCGCTCGTCAGTTGCTGCGTTCCCGGCGCCAGAGGCAACGGCATCGAGTGATCCACTGCAATTCGGGTTGAGGGTTGCGGGTTGGTTCGGTTGTCGGTTTGTTGCGTTTGTAGATGTTCGATTGATGGTCGTAACGGATCGGAGTGGTTTGCATGCGTACAAAATTTAAATAAAAGCTTCGTTAGGGAAGAGCGTTAATGGTCAATGCACACAGTGATAACAGAAAGCGGCTCAGTTGTAGGGCGAACACACAAGCGGCTCACCTGTGGCTGTGACTGTGCCGCCTCCCGGCTGCTGCTGCTGCTGCTGGGACGCCAGATGCGTGTGCGTCTTCATGTGATTGGTGAGGGTGCTCTGTTGTCGGAACTGCATGTGGCAGTAGGAACACGTGTATGGTTTGTCTCCCGTATGGATCTTTTTGTGATTGGCCAGCGTGGCCAGCTGGCTGAAGGACTTGTCGCACGTCTCACACTTGTACGGCTTGGGATCGATGTGCGTCCGCTCGTGATTGTGCAGCGTACTCAGCTGCGGAAATCGCCGCTTGCACACGCTACACTGGTACGGTTTCACCAGCTCCTCGGCCGCCGGCGAGCTGTAGCTGCCGGAGTATAGAGTCTTTGAGATTTGTACGCGCGGCATATGCTGCTGCTGTTGCTGCTGGTAGGCGTTGTGCATCTGATTCGCCTGCGACTTCCTCATCTTTCCACTCGACTGCGGCTGTGGCTGATAGTTGAGTAGTGACGTTGGCGTGCTCGACTCTGCCGCTGTGTGGAGCAAGTGTACGAAATGGGACATGCGTTTAGTTGTAGAGAAGTGTTTTGTCTGTACAGGTTTAGGCCAAACCCTCGTGTCACTTACCCTTATGCGTCTTGATGTGATTGATCAGTGTGCTCTGTTGCCGGAAGTCCTTGGCGCAGATATTGCAGGTGAAGGGCTTCTCGCCAGTGTGGATCTTCACGTGGTTGGTCAACGTGGAGATCTGGCGGAATGCCTTGTCGCAGTGCTTGCACTTGTAGGGCCGTTCATCGGTGTGTATTTTCATGTGGTTGCGTAACGTCGTCAGCTGCCGGAATTTGTTCTTACACACGTGGCATTGCTTCTTTTTGCGCGGATCGTCCACCACCGTCTCCTCCTCCTTGATGAATGTCTGCACCACCTCCTGCTTCATGGGCGGTATGGGCGTGTGATTGCCACCGCTATTCGTTGTGGTCGTCGATATATCTAGCAGGTGGACCAGTGGATGTTGCGGATGGAGCATCGTCTGGTGGGTGGGATGCTGAATGGCCTGCACAGCGGTCAGTTGGTGCAACGCGAACGGACTCTGTTGCAGGCTGGCCAGGGTGGTCGACTGTTGCAAGGCGTTTCCAGCGCCTCCACCACCACCCCCTCCGCCGCCACCGCCACCCCCACCGTGCGTTGCCAACTGGGCGGGCGCATAGTGCTGATAGTTGGCCATGGCAGCTGTCGCAGCAGTTGCATGATTCAGATGCATAGTTATGGGGCTTGCCTCACCGACCTGAGGTATTCGAAAAATCTTCAGCTCCAGCTAGTGACTTTCGGTCGCTTATTGTCTGCACATGAAGGATGCGAGTGGGCGCGTTATACAATTAAATGGAAAACCCGCAGCCATTTGCCACCAGAGCCCCACCACACTCTGTCGTCGGGTTTGTTATTTTAGCTGTCTGCTGCTACTGCTGCCGCGACCTGCCCTGGCACCTGGCACGTCGCTTCCACGTATGCGTTATCGCAAGCAATTCGGTAGGCACTTTGTCCTGCACAACATGCCACACAGTTTGCACAGTTTTCGCGAATCGTAATGTTGCTTTCTCTATGCTTTATGCAAAATTTTCAGGCCACGCTCTTTTTGTATCCGTATCCTTATCAAAACAAAAATGACTGGCGTGGTTTTCCAGGGCCTCGGCACGAGCAGAGCTGCATCGGAGGTGGTCGCTCGCCCAACGATAGTGTGCATCGAATAGTCGTACCAGGGCTACGCAGCTAAAATGTGCAAAAAACGCAATGCACTGCACATATCGGACACACTGTCGATAGCAACTATCGCAGAGAAAATATTGAGTAGCCGAAAAGTTATCAGCACTGTTCCCCAACATGGATGAGCAACATTCTAGTACCCTTGGGTGTAAGGATATCCTCGAATTGAGGTAATGTTGCTTCAGAAAAAAAGGTTACCTGTGTTGGAGATCCATTTCAAAACTATAAATACCGAGAATTAATATACATAGATCAGAACGTAGAAAACATATAAAAAGATTAAACGTATATCAGTCTAAGATAAGATAAGATACACCAACTTTAAATATCAATTAATGGAAATAGGGTATATAAAGACACATACTACTTGTTGTCCAGCAACAAATTGTCAAATACGTAGACTTCCATTTTCATTCACCACTTATTTTGCAAGCAATCCAATAAAAGGAAGTTATAACAACAAGCCAATCGTATGCATATTTGATTTGTCAATCGGATTAAATTATAGTTTCAGCGCTGAGAATTGTAACTAGCTGGTAATATTAAGCAGAACATCAAAATCGAGGAAAGTTTATTAGGATATACGGTATATTTTGTAAGTTAAAAGTAATATTTCTGTATATTTCCGAGGGTCAGGCGGTATATTTTATCGATAATTCCACGGTCACACTGTTGTGTTGTGTTGATTTTGCTTTTTGTTAAAAAAAATAAAAAACCAACGGCAGGTATTCTGCAAAGGCTTGCAAGCCTTCGATATATTTACTATCAAAGGCTTAAAACTTGCTTCACCATGAGCGACAACGAGCACAATGATCCTGCGGCTGTGGGGATCAGATCGAAGGAGGCCGATTCCCCCGATAATGACAGCAATGGAGGTCTGTCACTGTCAGCCCTGCTGTCATTTGGTTTCTGTAATTTGTGTTGATAATTTCAGGTAGTCCAACAATTGATGGAATTAGTATAATGCTCGCAAATACTTTGAGTATGGGTCCCAGTACCTCAGCGACCAGGGAGAAGGTAAGGATGGGCCGCAGAACTTCCGAGTGAATGCTGAAGCATTTTTTTATTTATTCCAGGTCATAGCCGACCTGACACCTAAGGGCCTCGCTGACCACTGGCGTAAGAATGGATTCAAGAAGATTATCACCATGGTTGGTGCTGGCATATCCACATGTAAGTCAACTGAGTGAACCGCTGTCCAGGTCTTTGACATTTAGTTTCGCTTTCCAGCCGCTGGCATACCGGACTTTCGGTCCCCCGGCTCGGGGCTGTACGACAACCTGGCCAAATATAAGCTACCGTACCCCGCGGCTATATTTGAGTTGTCGTACTTCAAAAGGAAACCAGCGCCCTTCTTTGCGCTGGCCAAGGAGCTCTACCCCGGCTCGTTTAAGCCCACTGCGGCTCACTATTTCATACGCCTTCTCCATGAGAAGGGTCTGCTGGTGCGCCACTACACGCAGAATATTGACACGCTGGATCGGCTGGCGGGCGTGCCTGAAGACAAGCTGGTCGAGGCCCACGGCAGCTTCCACACAAACCATTGCATTAGGTGCAAAAAGGAATATGACATGGCCTGGATGAAGGAAGAGATTTTCGCTGATCGGGTGCCCAAGTGCACGTCATGCATGAAAATTGTAAAGCCGGATATTGTGTTCTTTGGGGAAGACTTGCCAGAGAAGTTCCACAAAAGCTTGGATGTTGACTTCAAGGAGTGCGATCTCCTCATCATCATGGGCACCTCGTTGGAAGTTCATCCGTTTGCAGCGCTGGCGCAGTACCCGGGACCGCGCTGTGTGCGCCTTTTGATCAATCGCGATGCCGTGGGTCGTTTAAAGTATACCACTTGGATGGATGAGCAAAACGGCGATTCTCTGCTCTACAATAGACCCACCAACACGCGCGATGTGGCCTACCTAGGCGACTGTGACGCTGGTGTGCTGGAGTTAGCCAAAAATCTGGGCTGGGAGGAGGAACTACAGGAGCTCATGTCCACTGAGCTGAAACTTTTGGACAAGCCGAATGCGGTTGTAAAGCAGAAGTCAAAGAAAGATAAGGCGGCTGCCTCGACCAGCAGCACCCATTAGTAGATGGGTTTAAAGAAGTGTGTAGATAAATAGTTAAGTTTGGCTAAGAGTGCAATTTGTATACATGAGACATGTATAAACGGACAAAGGAATGTGCATCGATTGTGGAATTACTGGGAATGATTCAAGCGTAGAATCCTGACCCAATCCCAACACTGCCCGTGGCCTTCCTCCTGTTACTGGCAATAGTACTGGGCTGAAAACAGAAGCAAAATCCTCCCACGATGAGCGTATGGCGGGCACTAGTTAATTTTGATTTAAATGTGCAAATTCTATGGAAATTGCATAGGAGCAGGACATGTATAAACGGACAAAGGATGCCCATCATCATGGCTGTGCACGTAAATCCCGTGCGTTTCATTTCATTTCGTTCTTGCTCGTTTCCGGCTTTCAATTATTCAAGTGCCATTTGTGAGCCATTAGCGTTACCCTTGCAGTACTGGCCTGTAGTAGATGCTGAGGGGGGATGCTGTGGAGGGCCATGGCCGAGGTCCCTTTTAGCTGTGCCACCGAAAACCGCAAAAACTGATTGAGTTGCTCTGCCGTTTCCGGCGCACAAAAAGCAGAAACCGCCAACAAAGGTTAAATCTCGGACATGCTTGTGTTGCTGTTTGTCGTTTCTGTGTTTTTCAGCATTTTGCTGGCTCTGATCCTGCTGCTGATGCTGATGCTGATGCTGATTCTGTTACAGCTGCCGCGCCCACTCCAGCGTCATCAACCGCCATTGTGGGCGTTGGATGTGGCATCCTAACAGTGTGTTTATGAGGGATGCAGCTGCATCCTCTGCTGCACCAACTTAATGACTCACAATCTGTCCCACAGATAAACACACACAGAGAGGAAAGAGAGGGATCTCCCATGCAGAACGTACTCATACGAGGAGTCCTAGTACGGTTTGCTCGTAATGAAGCTTCTGCGGTGAATTGGCCAATAGAAAATACGTACGGGCTGCACTAATTAAAACCCAGGACACCGAACCAGTACAGCGGCTAACCTACTGGCCAAGGGAGGAATGGGGAAGAGAGACCAGCAAACAGATATTGTTAATCGCTGGCAGGGTGGATGCCGGAGGTACATAGCTGCACACCAGGAAATCAGATGCAGCAACGGAAATATTGATGGCCTCGCAATTTGTTGCAGTTGCCCCAGAACTTGGGGCAATTAAAGCTAATGGCCCCAAGAACTTGTCTATGTGCAATTTTCCAGAGTGTTTGGCTGTCTGTCTGTCGGTACGAGTATCTCCTCCTATGCCACATACACTCAAAATTGACTCAAGTTACCCCCAATATTAACTTGACTTGACTTGCTCTCGTCTCTCGCCTCCTGCTCTCTGCTCCACCTTCCAATCCAAAGCAATGTGGAACGCCATTAGGTGCACTCCATGCACACGCACTTGATGATGCCGAAGGGGGGTTGTGTTGGGGCCATATTTATGTTAACATGTTTCATATTTGTAATCAAAATGATGCCAACCCCCGCCCCCGTCTTCGTCTAATCCTCAGCAGAGCCTGTTCATCAGTGGCATTGAAACAAAAGACGAGTATTCCTTGTAGGGACACTCCTCGATGTCATCACCGACAGCTGTGCTCGCGCTCTGATATTGAATTCTTGACATGATTGCGTGGAGGAGCAACACAGCACACAGCGCACAGCTTGCTATCGAATTGATTGCGACCCACACACAGACACACACCAACGCACAGAGTTTAAAAGCATCGAAAATGCCAGGCCATGACCACAAATAACTCAAGCGGTCCCTAATAAAGCAAATCGAAGAGATCTTCATTGATTGTGTGGGTTGTCGGCTGTGGACTGTGGACTGTGGACTACCCTGAAAAACATCTTTGATGGGCGTTTATTCTAAAATATGCATTGTTATCGTGGCATAAACGAAATCTTTATGAATATTTTATTATGGCTTTAATAAAAAAGAAAACCAAAAGGGAGCTCAAAGCTCTCGAAAACCGCTCTCTGGCGACGGCTGCCAAATGCTGTTCAGAAAAAGCAATTTGTGTCAATAAATGTTGCCACAGTGTGTGTGTGGGGGTAGTGCATGTGTGTGTGTGCCCAATGTTCTTTTTGCGCATAATATCCATCCCCATACGCATACCCATACCCATCCCCATACCCAGCATAATCGTCATAATCATTTTATGTGCATGTTGTATAGCTACTTTTGGGCGCATACATTTTTATTTACGTCTTTGTCAACACAATGCTCCAAAAACGATTGAGTGTGCCACACCCACACACTGTGCAACAAAATTAAAGTGCGAAATGATGCCTGATGCCGATGCCTGACTGCCTGGCAGCTTCTGCCTGCCACACACAGCCAAATTGGCGGTTTTCGTGGCTCCAAATGAGCTGTGGTGGCATGCATAAAATAAAGTACATTTCCGCTGCGGCTACAAACATGCAAAGAGGAACAAGAAGTGAAGCAAAATCATCCAAATATACTACAAGAAATGATGAAAATATCTATTCAAAGTCTGCAAATATAAATTTGTTTCAGTGCACATAATAAGGATGGACACTAACCAGAGCAGAACAGAAAGCCTACACAATTACTCACAAGATCGCTCATATCATAATTCTTATAAATAATATGAAAACCCAAAAAAAAACAGTTTTAGGGTTTAGTCATTAGAGGATGTGTGTAACGAATTGGCAAACCAAATAATTCGCATTGATTTAGCTGGTTTTGATGTCCACTGACAGTAGTAGACCGGGAGCCCATACCGACCGCATGCTGCATTGATTTGGACCAGCAAAAACCAGCGTCAATGGGGTACACGGTGCATGGTTGGTCAATTGATTGGGCAAAGCCAATCTTCAATGAATAAATGAACGTTGCAGATGGGAGGGCTGTGCCGTGCTGTATGCCGGGGTCCGTCAGGTGCATCATCGAGTGCATTTAATTGTGGCACAGGACCCGCGCACTCCAACAAAAGGATTTTCGCTTTGTCCTCGACTGCTGTCACTGCACCCACCAGCAGCAAAAACTCCTCCAACATACAGAGAGCAATACTGGTCAGAGTCGTAGTGGGAGGAGATGGCAACATGATTTAGCCAAAATGGTTTTGTTTTTTTCTATTTGTTGGGTTTTTGGGTTTTGTTTTGTTCGTTTTGCGTTTTGTTGTGTCCGGTTTTTGTGGTTAATTGAAATTTTTCATTTGCCTCGTTTGCCGGCGACGGCTTTAAATTCATTTTGAATGGTTTTGGCTCTAAGCCCTGGGGGCCATCGTGGCCAATTCCCGCCGGAATGCAGAATGCAATAAATTGTCGAAAAAAAACAACAGCAATATAACTCTGCGGCTCGACAACAAAGTGGATTATGTAATTGCACAGACAGATACATAGATGCCAACATAGATGGATATATTTGTGTATAGATAAAGTAATATAAAGTTATGGCACGCTGAGAAGGCGACTGCAGCTGCCTGTGGCATCGATTTGGAAAAACAATTATCAATATTTAATTCGTTGGTGGTTTTTGTGGTCGACAAATGCCAATGAATTGTGGAAATCAGTTTAGATAAATAGTCAAGTGCCTGTACACTCCACTGTCGTCCGGGCGTTAAGTCAGGTCCTTGGAGGCAAATGCTCGACATTAAATTCATTTAATTAAAGTTCTAATTTAGCTGCTAAACGAAACAGAGAGAAAGCGCACAAGGAAAACCTATTTAGAGCGTGAAAGAAACTGCATTTTGCGATACATTTCCTCAGCCTGTTCTCTCTCACCTGTACAGGATGTGCTCGGAACACCTTAGCAACTTTCCTACCTCCTTATCGTCCTGGCCCTGTCCGACATTGGTAATTTAGAGAAAATGTGCATGGTGCAAAAGGGGTCAGCGGAGGGAGGGCTGTAAGTATTTTGTACTCGTTACTTGTATTGCCTTTTCGATTTGCACTTTACACGCTTTCATTACACTTCGCTTCCGCAGTCGAAAGAGACGGAGATAGGCCAAAATATATAGAGAGGGGTTAGGGCAAGAAATGGAAATACTTGACCCGAAACCGTTGCATTGTTAGCATTTAAACTGTTCCTTTGCCGTTGCGCTTCACTTGGATTGCACACTCGAGACACAGATACACACACCAGAAGAGGGAGAGATGGCACTCTAGAAAGGATACGTTGGAAATGTTTTTTCCAAAATAATAAATTTTTACTGTTACCCCCCAGAACGGTTTCCCTTGGGTTTCATAATAATGCGGATTTCGTTTCGGCATACCCAAAACTTTCTTCGAGTGTAGTGCAGGGCAGGGGCCAGGCATTATCTAAATGCCCAACAGAGAGACATTTCGTTGCAGCTGGATCCGCAGCTGCCTCATAATCAACGACAGCCGAATCAACGGAACGAGCACTCATCTTAACGTCAGTGCAAATGATTGCTATTCCCACTACCCACCACCACCACCCCCCGCTACACTGTTTGGCAGCAACCATGCAACATGCTGCCTTGACACTTTAAGCTGCAATTTCGTTAAAATATTTCCAATCGATTTCGTTGGTTTATCGCCAAGTTTATTTCCACTTTCTTGTTGTTTGCCTCGTTGTTCTGCCCCTCTCCCCGCGCCGCTACACTGCTCTCCTCGCTCCCATACATACATCTAGTGTACTGCACATTTTCCGTTTCCACTCTGGCAGATCTTACGGAAATGAAATGTGTTTCTATTTTAGTTTCGCCATTTTCTTTTATTTTTTGTGTGTGTGCATTTACACGCTCGAGTGTTTGCCTCAAACTCGAATGAAAAGAACCCACAAAATAGAGAAAAGAGCGAGATAGAGATAGAGGAAGCTATGCAAGGGGGGAATCGAACCTAAGATGCCCTCACAGAATGGCTGCTATAATGATGCAATTATAACTAAAAGTTCATTGGTTTGTGTGCAACATTAAAAAGATTTTACCACAAAGACATACCAATAATAATAATGATTCTGATCTTACTCAAATAGTTTTAAGCGTGAAGCAAAGGTAAGGATTTTCACAGATACAGTTCGAGGAACATTTATGCCCTCTGAAAGGGCATTAAAATCAACAGCTTCAACTCAAGTTTGTTTGCATGTGCATGTGCAAAAATTGCAATATTCAATACA